CACAACACACTCAATATTGGCCTATGCAGGAGCCACACTTACTATATATAAACCAGCTATTGATCTTTGCCAATGGACAAATAACTTCAAACTCACCTCACCTCCCCTCTCCTCCGAAAAGGTAAAGCATTGATACTAACTTACACTAACCATATGATTTTCCCAACCAATCCAATCTCTGCCTCACCCTAACCTCCCCAGATCCTGTGTGCCTTGTTTTTCTTTTCATATAGTTTCCTTGCATCTATATGTATTCCTAGAAGTTTTTTCTTTAATTTTAGCTGTTTATAAATTTATAAAAAATGTCACATTGCACCTTTCATTGTATTTCTTTTACTCAATATTGTATTACTCAGAGGCATCCATATTTTTGCATGTCACTGTTGATCATTTGTTTTGACTGGCTATAATTCTCCACCCTCCAACTGATGGCTATTTGGCTCTTTCCGGGCTTGAGGTGGTGTGAATACAGTTGCATATGTCTCCTTCTGGACATGAGTTTTTCTTGGGCACATACACCTAGAAGTGGAATCACTAGGGCGTAAGAAACGTGAACGTTTGGGACATTCACTTACAGTCCAGTGGTTAAGATTCCAAGCTGTCACTGCCAAGGGCTCGGGTTCAGTCCCTGAATGGGGAACTAAAATCCCACAAGACAAGCAGGGTGGCCAAAAAAAATGTACACCTTCAAGTTTAGGACATGATATAAAAGTGTTTTCCATTTTCTTGGATTTCCTAGAGTTTCTAAGATGATTGCTTCCTCCTCCTATCTTCCTCAATTGTGTTTCTTTAAATTTCATGTTCCAGCTCTATCAAAAGGTTTAAATCAGATTCTTGGCCTAACACCAGAGTAGCCTCTCAGCTAAATCCACCACGTGGAAAAAAGGAAAAAAAAGGGGGGGGCTCTTTTCTGAACACAGATAATAAGAAGGGCATCTCTGCAGACACAAGGCCCCACCCTCATCCAGACACAGAGGCAGGTTAGTCAAAGAGAAGGGAACTGTCTACAAGCTGCTTCACATTTGGCAAATGCAAGATTTTTAGTTTACATGGAGCCAAATATTGTTCTCCCATCCAAGTTTTGCTTGCTCAGTCTCTCCACCCCCACACCTCCCATAACCACCCCACACACTTTAGGAACAAAAGCCTAAAATGGAAAAAAATAATAAATTGTTAAGTAACCAATTTCATTTAAATGAGAGCAGGGAGTCCAGCACGGATGTCACAGTACAGTCAAATTCATTTCAATAAATATTTACAGTACACTCTGCAGTGTGACCAGCATACTGACAAATAACATCTTTACTCTGCCCTTGAGAGGTTGTAAACGTTCATTTAACAAGACAAGATCATGGATGGAGTGCCAAAGGGGCAAGTTAATGCTAAGAGGATGAAGATGCTGGTCTGATCTCAAGATGCTCACTGTAAAATTAGCAAAAGTTAAGAACATAAGTGAATCAGATATTGAAGCTGTGCAAAGGTAGAGAGTGATCGATTCTAACCAACATGGAGAGTGATGCTAGAGCTAGGTTTCAAAGGATGAGTACGCGAGAGGAGAGAGGATAAAGAATACAGCTAAAAAAAAATTAAGAAATCAAAGTTTTCTATTTCTCAAACTTCTTAAAATCTATTCCCTGCCTCCAGTCCTGTACCAAGAAAGTGGAACCTGTGGATCACTGATAAACATGTGTCATCTGGGGACTTGCCTGGTGGCCCAGTGCTTAAAACTCTGTGCTCCCAATACAGGGGGCAAGGATTCAATCCCTGATTGGGGAATGAAGATTCGGCATGCCACTCAGTGAGGCCAACATAAATAAACAAATAAAATGTTAAAGCACGCATCATCTGCATTTATTTGTTCATTTCACAGGTGCCAGGCCCTGTGCTGAGCTCTGGGGGATACACCGATGGACACGCTGGGCACAAACCTGCCTTCACCTAGCTCCCAGTCTGCAGAACAGACGGAGGTTTAGACAAAGACAGGCAGTGGCTTGGCTTAGCCGTCAGACTCCATGGACCTGAGAGAGCCCCTCCCCCATCCAACCCTCCCCAGAAACATTTTCAGTAAATTGTGCAGGATTAAAGAAATGGCTGCCTCCTCCGTAATTAAAAAGCTCCTGACCATCATCCCAGGTAGCCACGTGGCCGCTCAGAGCTGAGAGACCAAGAAATCAGGTGCTTCCTACATAACAGCCTCCAATCTGATACCTGATAGCTGCTGGGAGCCAGAGTCAAACAAATGTCAGGCATTTTATGAAGGCAGGAAGCAAATAAGGGGGCAAGGATTGGGGTTTAGGCCTCAAGGGAGCTCAATTAGTGAGCCAGATAAAGTTAAACCGAAAGGGCACACTCTGGGTTTCCTAGAAAGCCAGCTGGAAAAGATGCCAATCCCTAAGCCTCTGTCACTCAAAAGATTAACAGAAGAGACCCAGGAATGCCCAAGGGAACACTGCAATAGCCAGATGTTTCTGCTCCTCTCATGACACTGCTGCCCACAATCACGACTACATTTCTGACTCCACCAAGAAGCCACAGAAGAGAACTGCAGGCTTCCAGAATAGGTTGAAACTCAAAGGCATCACCCTTTAGCGATGCAGACACCAAAATATATCCATATATTTGGCTCCCACCACTACACATGCACCATGTTTCAAGCAAGGCTTTTACCCTCCTGAGTCTCACTTTCAAAATGGCACTAAAAAGACCCACCTTCTTGCTCTTATAAACATAAGTGATCATGGAAAGTGTCCGGCCCAAGAATTCATAAATGGGGGCTCTTACTGGGGTCTATAAATGCATCCAGGTAACCACATGCTCAACACAGCACCTTTCTGTTGGTACTTTCTAAATGTGTGTGTGTGTGTGTGTGTGTGTGTATGTCTGTGTGAGAAAGAGAGAGAGAAAGAGAGAGAGAAAAATCCAGCTGGAACACACAGAAGCCTATTTACACTTCCTATTTGTGTCCCACCATTTCTATCAAATTAATAAACTACAGAAGCCCAAGGGAAAACTAACCCATGTCTCTATTTTCCCTTGAAGTCCCTAGCTTTCCCCTAAGAGCTGCTTCCTCCAGTTTCAGGAGGCAAGGAAGGAGAGCCATATGGCTTGAGACCCTAGACTCGCCCAGCAGCAAACGAGCCCCCCACCATTTGTCTCCGGGCCTCTCATGTGGGCGGGCATCCAGCTTTCAGCCGGGTGCTCTGGTCTGCGTCTCTGTCTTGACTGTTCCTAATTATTGGAGGGAACGCCGTGGCTCTTCTGACCTCGGAGTTTAAAAGCTGCAAGTCCTAATATCAAACCAAGCAGCTTCATTTAAAAGGCATCCTCATCTGCATCCATAAAAGTCACTCCCGGAGCCCTGACTTGCCCCAGCTTCGGGAATGCCTGCTGTCGAGGATTTATGACACGCCCTGGCTCTAATCGGCCGCACTTTAACTGCTGCTGTTGCACATCTGGTCATAAAAGCAAGGGCAGGCCCAACATGGGACAAACACGTTCCTTTCCTAAGTGGCTGCAAATCTGATCTCACAGTGATAGCCAGGCTCAGATGTAATCAGCCAGCATCTGGGCAGTCATTAAGACTCGTCAAGCCTTGCGACGCATTTCCCACACACACGACAGTTATAAAGATGATTCTCACGGAGCGAGCGCTAGGAAGAAAGAGCCTGCAATCTGAACAGGTGGCAACGGGCTAGGCCAAATGATATCCAGGAAAGCACAAGCTGGTTAAGGAGCCAATCTTTTCACAAAGATACTAGCTACTTCCACAGGGACTCTCCTGCTGCCTGGAGAAGGCAGGCAGCTATCTTGACAGACAAGATACCTTGCCCTGACATAAGGTAATTCTTGGCCAGAGAGCCTCTAGTCTCATTGTTGTTTAGTCACTAAGTCATGTCTGACTCTTTTGTGACTCCATGGACCGTAGCCCACCAGGCTCCTCTGTCCATGGGAATATCCGGGCAAGAATCCTGGAGAGGGTTGCCATTTCCTTCTCCAGGGGATCTTCCCTGGATAGAACTCTTGCCTCCTGCTTGGCAGGCGGAGTCTTTACCACTGAACCACCTGGGAAGCCCCATCCTCTGGATAAGTTTGGTCAAATGAACCAGAGGGTGGTTTAAGAGTACACTTTTTAAGGTAGTGGAATCCTTCATTAGACCAACTGGGTTATATGGGAGCAAGAATCTAGCCCAGAAAGGAACACAATGCTGTCGGTTCCGGAGGTTTTACAATGCCCTGGACAGCCCGCCCTGTGCGCAGAATTGGCACGTTTCACATCGTTCGGGAACTCCAATCAGACCAAGGTTCAACAAGTAGTGCAACCTCCCGGGCGCAACGCAAGGAAAGCTTCTCGAACACTGCCAGTTCCTCTCCTCCAGCTCTCCACAGCCCCCCATCTCTACCCCTCCTCTGCGGCTGTGCCCAGCGGGAGGGAGCATTAAAATTATCTGCTGTGGGTTTTACGAGCAGCGATAGCTTTTTAAAACAACAACACAAGGTCCTTGTGTGGCTCTCCGGTAACCTAAAACCCTGGAGGCAGAGCAGCCCTCCCCCCAAACCCCCCGCCGCCGCCGCCGCGCCGCCGGCCAAGAACGCCAGCGCTCTGGGACCGCGCGCGGGGTGAGCCCACGGAGCAGCCCTGATCGAGCGGAGAGCCAGGAGGCACCTCGGATGCAGGAGGCACCTCCAAGGGTCTTGGAGTAAAATGCCCCGGGAGGAGAGATGGGGAAAGAGAACTCACCAGTGACAGTAGGGGGAGAGGGGGAGGAGAGGGAAGGCAGAGTCGGTGCTGCAAGAAAGAAGGGGTGGGGCGGGGGGGGGGGGAACAATAGGAGAAATTTTAATTTCAGCAACTTCGCCGAGAACCCACCGGCGACGGAGCGTTAGGTGGGGGGTGGAGGGGGCACAGGATCTGATACCTCCCTCTCCGGTCCCCAAGGGATGAAGGCCAGCGACCTGGGGTCTCCTTCCGCAGGTGGGAGCGCGGCTGGGGGCGCACTTACCCTGGGGCCGGTGGTGCGGTGGTCGCGAGCCGGGGACAGCTGCACTAACACCAGCAGCAAGTGGGGCGTGAGCAGGCGGGCGCAGCGCGCGGGCAGCATGGTGCCAGGCCGGTCCGGGCAGCGGGCTGCGGGCAGGGGTGGCGGGCTTCACGGAGCGCACGGCTGCGCCGGCCTTCCTGCCTTCCTTCCCACCCCCGGGGACCCTGGCATAAACCCCCGGGAGGGGCGGGGCGGAGCCCGACGGCCCTGACTGACGGGCCGAGAGGCCCGTGGCAGCCGCCCCTCGGGCAGGTGAAAACCAATGGGAGAGAGGAAAGAGGGGCGGCTCGCGACCGTCCCCAACGAGGAGCGACACTCGGTGGCTCAGCCGAGTGGGCTCTAGGAGAGACGGGCCTAACGATGAACATTCTCTTGGCCCTTCGGTCCAGGGAAGCGTCCGAGAGCTCCAGCAGCCTGAGCGAACCAGAATACCCGCCCGGCTAATGATCACACCTTAGGCATGTGTAGTTTTCAGTACGTGAGTTGTCACACCAGCCGGATGAAATAGGCAGGGAAAACACTCCTGGCCCCGTTTTCTCAGATGAGGGTGCTAGGGCACAGGAAGGGCTGGCACATCTGCTTCCCGGCTGCACCAACACCAAGAACAACTGGGAAGTCGCCAGGTCACCTGCACACGGAGAACTGACTGTAAGCAGCGTGAGGAGTGGGATTGGCGCATTCGCTGCTTGCAGACAAGGTAGCACTAAGTGCTACAGCCGCGGCCCCCGGAGCAGTGTCAGGGAGAGAGAGGAAGCTCGTGCTGGTCGCGCTGGGGAGGGCCCCTGTGGGTATGAGATGATGCCAACCCGTGGCCCTGTGGTGGATACGGGATTAGAACCCAGGCGTCCTGGCTCCCTGCCTGGAACTAAAAGGCCAACAGGCAGCTTCTCTGTGGCCCAAGAGCCCTGGCAGGAGAGGTCAGAGGGGACCTGGTCTCCTGACCAGGGGAAGAAAGAGGAAAAAGCACTGATAGGAGGGGTAATCTGTGGATGAAGAGACCCCAGAGATGGGTCAGAGGAGTCGGGGAGACCTCTCCTGAGTGCCCGTAGGATGCTAGAAGGCTCTGCCCAGGACGATCCCCAGGAGTTCATCTTGGGAATGGTCACAGACACATCACACCAGCCCTTCAAAGGAGCGAGAAGGTCCACTGCATTCAACCTAAGAGAACCATGGTTTACCTTCTTAAGTGGAACACAACCGTTAGTGTTTATTTTCTTTGGTATGGACCACTCACTTGAAGGCAAGGGATTCTTTACTCCAGCCAGGCTGGAAGCAGCACCAGGGCTTAACTCCTCTCCCTGTGAGCTTAAGAGGTCCTGACAAAGGTTGACTCTGCTCCCTCACAGCGTCTCTCCTGGGTTGTATAAACAAGCTTCCCCACCCAACTCCTGCATTCAGTTTTGCCTCCCCGGTTTGCCTGCCACCTAGCCTCTACCTAGCAGCCAGTCACTCTTCTAAAACGCAAACCTGAATCGTCACTCTCTGCTTAAAAGGTTTCAATTCTCCCCAGCGTCATCAGATCAAAAAGCCCTGACTGGATGTTAGAACAATTACAAAGTACTGATGGTTCTTCAAACAAAAATGAGAAACTGCTCTCAGTGAATTGTCTGTCTTCCTCTGCTGGGAAATAGCGGGAAATAGTTAATGCTCTCTGGAGCCCGTCAGCCTGGGTTCAAATCCTGGGTCTGCCACCTAGTGGTATAACCTTGCACAAGTCACTTTACTTATCTGGGGTGCTGCTCTCCCTTCTGTAAAATGGGAATAAAAATAGTGTCCATCTCATGAGTTGTTGTCAGGATTGAAGGAGATGGAATATACAAGTTCCTTAGAATGACTGTGTTATAAACATCACAACCTGGCATCTTAAGAGGGCAGTACAAATGCCTCATCTCATTTTACCCTCTGAATGATCCTGTGAAGTCGACAGAGAGATCCAGCTTTACAGGTAAGTAAACTAGATACCCCATGCAATTGGGACTTGCCTGGCCTCATTTGGCTGGTAAATGACAGCAAACATTCAAGCACAGGTTTTCAGAGTCTAATTCTGCCTCCATCATCTGATAACTGCAATGTCCAATCGCATAGAGTTCGACAGTTCCTGTGTGCTTCCTGGAAATTTTTTCAATGGCCTGCAAGGGAGCTGAGATTCTGAGCCTCACAGAGTTTCAGAGAAAAGCATGGAAACAGCAAGGGTCAGCCTTTCCTGGAAACAGCCCTTGTGATCTGGCATCCTGGGAATTTGCCCAGCTGGACTTGTCTGTTTCTCCCATGCCTCATGATGCACTTACGTGAATTTCCCTGTGCCTGCCTAAGTGCTCCTCCATCAGGGGCTCCCCAGGATGAAAATGTCACCCTCAGGCTCAGCAGTGTGGTAGGTTTGTCCTAACTCTACCACCTTACCACATGCACCCATCAAACTGGTCAACTTCTTTCTGTTGCTGGAATTATTGAGAAATCTATTGGAGTAAGTAAATATGCTTGAGATGGCCCCCCAGTATCTGGCAGCACAGAGTGCCGAGGGAAAAGACACTGCAATAGTCCTTTCCATCCGTAACACCACAGGCTGCTCTCCAGCCAGAAAGCTTGTTTCCAAGTGGTCGCTGGTCCAAAAGTCTACATTATTCTGGATTTCAACCATATAGCTTAGTTTAAAATATGAGCAACTGCTTTCCAGTTACTTTGCTCAGCAAAGTAATTTTGCTTTCCCTCCGGTTGGCATGGGAGGCCTGTCGTAACCATGGCTATCATTCAAACGATGCATTTTCTTCTCCCGACTCCTCCCAAGCCCAGAGAAGGTTAGAAATTCCAGAGAACTACTAGTCCCAAACATCGTCTCTCTGCCAGGCTCAATCATCTGATCCAAGCAAAAAGTGAAATTGACAAGTTCCTTCTTTCCCTGGAGGCCAAGCCTATGGTCCAAAAATAAATCTAGCTCTCCTGGCATCTGGTCTGTCCAGTTTCAGCCTTGCTCCTTGTCCTGTGGGACTTCTGTTTGCAAGGGGATATTTCAGTGAGGAAAAATAATACTTTATATCCCATACTGAGGTCTGAGAGCTTCAAATATTTATTAGCAACTAGGAACGCTCATTTCAAATATATGTTTCTGTATAGGCCAGGAGTCTTGTCTCATATTCAGAATAGACTCTATTCATTTTAACAAGCACTTTGATGCATCTCCTTCTATGCCTAGCACAATGCTCATTATTGTAAAGGATCTTTGAATGCATACCCTGCCCTCTGAGAGGTTATAATCTAAGACACAGCAGACAGAGACCTGGAGAATATATTTAAGAATAAAGACTGCATTGTGTTTTGGGGACTCAGAGAGCAGAGACCTGCTAGAAACCTAATGGCGGGGAAGGTTTCAGAAAGGTAGGTCTTTAAGGGTGCTTTGGAGAAAGGTGCTTCTGTAATATAAATACACCTTGACTTATACTTGCTTCACTTGTGATACCACTACCAACAGAGAAAGGTGAGTGGTATCTAAGGTTCAGGACTCTTTTCAAATATACGACTGAGATCAGGAACCTGGAACATCAAGAATCCTGAGCTCTATTTCTGGATTTATGACAAACTTGCTGAAAAACCTAGCACTGGGCTGAGATAGTTATTAATATTTCCATTATGCAGGTGAGACTGACCCACAGAAGTTAATCTTACCAAGGTCAGTCCTTACACTTTAAATATACATGACAACTGATAACACACACAAAAGTAAATAGGTGAGGTGATGGATGCGTTAAATAACTCGATGGGCAGAATCCTTTCACAAGATGTATATATTACATTGTACACGTTAAATATCTTACAATTTTATTTGTCATTTATACCTTAATAAAGCTGAAAAATATATGTACATGACAAAAATAATTTAAAATGACAAAAATTTAGATAATCTCTTTTGGACACAAACTCCTTTCAAAGTCTAGGGTAGCTCTCTCTAACCCAGGCTTCTTCTATTTTCTATTTGCCAGTTTGTCTATTTGTAACAAGCAACTTCTCCCTCATAATCCAAGATGGTGCTCAATCTCCATGCATCACATTTGTCTTCCAGCCTACAAGGAGGAAAAAGGGGGAAAGAAGAGCATGCCCCTCTCTTTAAAGATAACTCCCAGAAGTCAAAGTCACCATATCTCATCGGTTAAAACCTAGTGACCCGACCACACTTAGCCACAAATAAGGCTAAAAAAATTGTGTTATTAATTCAAGGTGGCCACATGTGTCCAGTTGAAAATCAAGAGTTTACCAAGGAAGGAGAAAACCCTGGGACAAAAATAGAAGTAGAAGCCATCATCATTATCATAGCTTGAGTGCTAAATGAAAGAACCATGGACAATGCAATGCAGTCCAGAGTGTTTAGTTGTGGCTTTCCTCTAGCTCTGCACATCTAGCTCACTCATGCTCAAAACATTAATGGCCTTAGGGCCAGACAGCCAGACTCTCGATGCCACAAAAATTTACTTCTGGTATTTCCCTCTCTTAGGCACCTTCAAGTGGGAGGATCTGAGAACATACTTGGATGAGGCTCAAGCCACACAGTGCCAGAGTGGCAAGTAAGAAGCCCCCTGATGAGACGAGCAGTCAATTAGGACCACTGGGAAGAATGCCATCTTTGTGAAAATATTCTTGGCAATCGCCTGTATTCCTCTGTTCTGTTTCTTTCCCTCCCACATCCACCTATAGGGAAATCTCTTTTCACCTGGTTACTTTTCTGTGACCTGGTTTCAAAATGACTAAGAGAGCAATAACATAAAGACTTTAATACATACTCTCACATTTACTCTACAAAGTAGGTACCATCGTTTCCCCTGTTTTACTAATGAAGAAGCAGAAACTTGGGGAGGTTACATAACTCAGCCAGAAATAAATAGCAGAATCAGAACTTGAGCCCAGTCCATCAAGAGCTGAACTTTTTGCTAAGCACTTTCACTACATGATCTTATACCCTCAGACCCAGCATATGAGGTCAGTATTATTAGTCCCATTGTTCAGATGAAGAATTGAGGCTTAACCAAGAAAGGTTACCTTACCAAGGCACACCAAAAGTTGTGGCATCCTCTGGATCTAGAGGTTGTCATACTGAGTGAAATAAGTCAGAGAAAGACAAATACTTTATGGCATTGCCTACATGCAGAATTGAAAAAGAAATGATACAAATGAATTTATTAA